GATGGGGTTTGGCCCATCCACCATGTCTCACTGACTCTTGCAAGGGGACACTGGTTTACTGGCTTTGGCTAGTTAACAGTCTCTACCAGGCAAACAGGAAAAAACAAAAAGAGCAGTGTGGTGTAGTGGAAAGAGCCCTGGATTTTGAGTCAAAGGACCTGGGTTTGAATCCTAGCTCTGCCATCTATGAAGTGAGTTGACCTCAGCCAAATAACTTCACCTCTCTCGTTTTTAAAATGAGGTGATTGGTTTTCCAATAAAGGTTTCTTATCTGTTTTGGTTACTATGTCACACTATTATTTTATATCGAGTATACAATTCTCTTTGCTGTTCACATTTGTATACTGAAATGTTCATGATTGCTAATGTTTAAGTTTTGATAAAAAAGAAAATTTATATGAAAATATTTGGAGTTTATAGTGGAATGACAAGAGGTAACATAGAATAGTTAATAGAGTGTTGGCTCTGCAGTAGGGGAGGTATGGGTTCAAATCCTACCCCTGACACTTACTAGCTGTGATCTTTGAGGAAGAAACCCATCCTCTCTATGCCTCAGCTTTGCCATCTGAGTTAGTAGCAGGGAATCCTTACAGTGACAAAATTAAAACCCTTTATCTATTTGCAGTCAACTAAAATCCACAGATCTTTGTTATATCTTATCCCTTAGATAATTCATTATCTGAATCCAAATATAACAGGTCATTTTACAATGATCTTCATTCAGTTTTAGCTTACTGGAGCTGGCCCACTGTTCTAGCCTCATAAGATTTTCCTGGATCTTGATTTTGTTATAGAACCTATCTCTGTTTCTTGTCATCTATCATGGATTCTATGCCTTTATCCAAGCCATTGATTTAGAAACAGGGGAGAGCCCTGGAAAACATTGGGGACCTCCTCCTTCTAAGTGGATACCGATCCAAAAGGGATGTCTCTAATTTAATTTCTCGGGGCTGACCACTCACTAGCACAGTGCTAGGGACTGTAGAAAGCTCAATAATAACAGTGGACATGTTGGTTACCCACAGGTTTCCTCTTAATGACATCTAAATAGAATCATATTGGAGGGGCTCCCAGAAGAGCAAGACCACAGAGGTCAATCAGGCATTTGTCCTCTGCCCTGTAGCAATATCGCATTTCTGGCACTTTGGGGGAGAAGGGAGGGAGAAGCCATGCCCTTGTAATTGCTGTTTAAGGGTATACCGTATCAGTGGAATTTGTCCAGTTGGCTTAATGGACGTTATCCAACCCAAGTCTCACCTTTCCTTCTTAATAGGCTCCAGTTCCTACTTCCAGAGACTTACTTTCTGATTTGATTCACTGCTGGTATGATTGAGGAAGCTTCTAGAACAATCCCTACTAAATGCAATGTTCTGTGCTGGGGGGAGGAATATAAAAACCTCCAAGGCAGGCGAATAAGCGTCTCCCTCCAAGATGCCCAACAGCTCATTCCTTGCAAAGAAGCACAGTCATCGACACACGTACCTTGGACTTAGAGGGAGACCAATGAAATCAACCTTAGACCCACAGGATTACAGGTCCAGAGCTGGACAAGACTTCAGTGGCCATGCTGTTCAACCCTCTCATTTTAAAAATAATTCTGAACTTAACAAACACTAAATAAGACAGGTATTTCATATACATAGTACAACTGAAAAAGATATCATACGTGAAACTGCAAATCTCTTCTGTAGAGATGCCTTCTGTTTTTAAATATATAATCAGTTCGGCATGTAACTTCCAAAGCTCTTCTGCCTGTCTGTGATTCTTTCCAGTCTTTCATCTATCCAGGGGTGGAGAACCCGCGGCTTCGAGGCCACAGGCAGCCCTCTAGGTCCTCAAGAGCAGCCCTTTGACTGAATCCAAACTTCACAGAACAAATCCTGTTATTAAGGGGTATTACTAATACTATGGGTATTCTACTCTTCAGTGCATTTGAAAAATAATGTTTCAATCCCCCTCTTTTCTTTTCTTTTTCTTTTTTCTTTTTTTTTGCTATCCTATCCCTAGCCCCCATCTCCCTGCCATTGATACCAAACTGAATGAAAAAGGAAGAAAAACAAACCCTTTCTAACAAATATGCATAGCCAAGCAAAACAAATTGCCACACTGGCTATGTCCAAAAATGGATATCTCATTCTCATCTTGAGGCCATCACTTCCCTGCCAAGGGGTGAGTATCATGCCTCATCAGCCATCTCCCTTCTCCACCCATGGCTCAGTCCTACATTCCCACTGTCCTTTCACCGGCTGCCTTTGGCGGCCATTTTTTTGTGGAGTGGCTTTTATTGAATCAAGTAGGTTCTAAATAACTGATCCAATCAAAAAGTGCTATTACCCAACAAAGGTAATTTCCCCGCCCTCCACCCTGCCTAATTTACATTTACAAAGTTGTTATTGTATAGATTGTTTGCCTGGTTCTGCTCACATCCCTCTGCATCAGTTCCTGTAAGACTTCCCAAGTTTCTCTGAAACTATTCCTTTAGTCATGCATTATTCTATTACATTCCTCGACCACAATTTATTTAGTCATCACCCCAATGAATTGGGACGCCATTAGGTTTCAGTTGTTTTCGACTACAAAATAATATTTTCGTACATATTTCTGATCTCTCTGTGATACAGGGCTGCTCATGGCATCCCTGAGTTAAATGGCACACCCATGTCAGTGGCTCTGGGGACAGAGTCACAAATTCCTTTAGAGAATAGCTGGACCAGTTCACAGTTCCACCAACAGGGCATGAGTGTGCCTGTTTCCCCACAGCTCTTCCAAAAGACATCATTCTCCTTTTCTGCCAACTTTGCCAATCTGAAGGGTGTGAGGTGGAACCTAAGAGTGTGTTTAATTTGCATTTCTCTAATTATTAGTGATTTTGTATATCTTTACATGGTTGTGTATAGCTTGGATTTCTTCCTTTGAAAATTACCTTTGCAACGGTTTGTGTACTTAAAAATCTGAATCTGTTCCTTGCATGTACAAGGAACCTTTATTGGATATACAAGAAATTGTATATACAAGAAACCTTTATTGGAAAACAATCACCTCATTTTAAAGATGAGGAAGATGAGAGAGATGAAGTTATTTGGCTGAGGTCAACACACTTCATAGATGGCAGGGATAGGATTCAAATCCAGATCCTTTGACTCAAAATCCAGGGCTCTTTCCACTATACCACACTGCCCTTTTTTTTCCTGCTTGCCTGGCAGAGACAATTAACTAGCCAAAGCCGGCAAACCAGTGTCCCCTTGTAAGAGTTAATGGGACACAGTGGATGGAACACTGAACCTAGGGTCAGAATCTGAATTTTTTATGTGTACATATGTATATGTATACATATGCACACATATACATATATACATATATATGTGTAAATGCATGTATATCTCTCTGTATATTGTGTATATATCCCATTAGAATGTGAGTATATATACTTATACATAAATATATATTTACGTTACATATTGTATATATACACATATGCATCTATACGTGTGTGTATTGTATGCAAGTGTGTATACATTGTGTGTGTATCTCCCATTAGAATGTGAGGGTATCTATTTATACATAAATATATTTAAGTTATATATAAACATATACAAAATGTTAAATATATTTAAGTTATATACAATGTTATATATAATATATGTGTAAATGTATAGTATAAGTTATAATATAATATTTATATGCTATATAACTTCATATATTTATTTCTATGTGGAAAGATATTATATGTATTCATATGAATGTAACATATGGTATATAATACATATTTTCTATAACTTAAAAATATATTTATATTTTTGTTATATATACATTATTATGTACACATTCCTAGGAATATATCTTGTGTGTATATAGTTGTTTACATGCTGTCTCTCCCATTAAAATGGGAGCTCCTTGAGGCCAGGGGCTGTTTCTACCTTTATTTGTAGATACAAATAGTGCCATAGATATGGCACTCAGCCCTGTGCCTGACACATAGTAGGTGCTTAATAAATGTTTACTGATTGACTGAATGATTCCAGTTCTATCGATGATCCTATAATCAAAAGTTCAAGAGTCAGACAAAGAGGGCTTGGTGTATAGTAAGGCAACCAGGAGGACTTCATGGAGTCAATGAGACTTCATTGCAGGAAGAGAGGGTACATTTAGATGGTCAGTCAGAAACAGGGTGGGATACCCTGGTATAGCCCTAGAGGCAGGAAGGCCTGAGTTCAAATCCACTTACTAGCTGACATTTGACCCTGATCAAGTCACTTAACCTCTATCTGTCTTAGTTTCCTTATCTGTAAAATGGGGATAATAATAGCACTTACCCCTTGGGATGGCTGTGAGGGTAAAATGAGATAATATTTGGAAAGCACTTTGCAAACCTTAAAACACTGCCCAGCGTAAGCCAGTGTTATTACTCCAGGTAGGAGAAGGTCCATTGGTCGGTGGCCAAACGCCATCCCAACCATGACACCAGCTCTCAGGCTGAGACTTATAATTCACTTGGTGGTTGCCTAGAAACTTAGCTCCGCCCTCACACCCTCCCTTCATTTAATGTTAATAAATCATAACTTTGTTATTAGAGAAAACTCAGGCCCATTAAAAAGGAAGATTTAAGGCTATGCTGAAACCGCTCCTTAAAGAAAAACGAGAAACTTATGCCCGCCTCTATATTTCTTCCCAGAAATGAAAACATTTCTAAAGGTCTCCCTGACCACCGAGGGCTGAAGAATCTGTTTATCCCTCCTTCCTCCCAGAGGCTCAGTGACGGGGCTGGAGGAGGCCCCCAAACTTCCTGCACTTGGGGATCGGTACGTGAGGAACACGTTTTCTTGGCAATGAACGTGGGGGGAGCTTTTCAGATGTGTATATTTCAGCCGGGGCTGTTCTAAATAAACGGGGTCTCCGTAGGGGGAGCACCCAGCCAGGGAGGCTATTTCTGCCCAGCCACTATCGTTCTAATCTTTCACCGACCCAGTGTTTACAGGCACAGGCCTGGAACGTTGACTTACCCGTCCCAAAGCTTTCCTCCCCACAGAGGGACAGTTTGTTTGCATCCATCAGATTCCCAAAAAACTTCCAGCCCGTTGGAGTTTCATACAAAGTGATCTTTGTAGCGCTGGCCACCCTGCAGAGGCCAGGAAAATTGCATCACGGTGGGATGGCGAGAGGATTCATGGGAAGGAGGGAAAAGAGTCATGGTCCTTCTGGCCCAGGGACCCCCCGAGCATCTCACAGGAGCGGACCCACTTCTACGAGAGACCCTCTGGACAACAGTCTATACTATAGGCACTGATGGAAGGGGACAGTCAAGGAAAAATGAACTGTTATCTCAGAGCCTGGAGTTTTAGGAGACACAGAAATGATTCTGTGCATTTACTAGGTGCGTGACCAGTTTTCTTACACCTTACTTCTCCTCCGGGGACACTGGCCTCCGGGCTGTCCCACAAACCAGACCTCCATCTCTTGGCTCTGGCCATTCTCCCTGGCCTCAAACCTCCAACGCTCTCCTTCCTCAGCTCCTCCTACTGACCTCCAGGCTTCCTCTAAGTCCCAATTAAAGTCCCACTTTCTACAGGAAGGTTTCCCCAACCCCTCTTCATTCCAGTGCTTTCCCTCTGTTCATTATTTCCTTGCTTTGTATATATTTGTTTACATGCCATCTCCCCCATTAGATTGTAAGTTCTTTGAGGGCAGGGACTGTCTTATGCCTCTTTTTCTATCTCCAGGGCTTAGCACAATGCCTGGCACATAGTAGGTGCTTAATAAATGTTTATTGATTGGTTGATTGACCCTAGGCAATAAACTTAACCTCTGTCCGCCTCAGTTTCCTCACGTGATAATAGCACCTATCTCCCAGGGTTGTTGAGATGATATATATAAAGTACTTTGTAAACCAAAGAGCTAGGTGAACGTAAGATATTACATACCCATTTATGTAAATGTGATCTTTCCGTTTGCTTCAAATGAAAATTTTTGGAAATGCTCTAAAGGCAGTGGGGCTTCAAACATAGTAGGTCCCCATTACAAGCTGATTAAACTGAGTGGGGACACTAAATCAAACATGAGAAAATGGTAGTCCCTATCTGCTCAGAACACCCTTTCCTCATCGGTAAGGGGAGGAGGGAGAGCGTTGCAGGTATGGGGGGGCAGGTGGTGCAAAGGCTGGGAGACAGGGCATCACGTGGGAGGAACAGCCTGGAGACAAGTGTTGCCGGCTCTTACAGTACATGGAGGGTTAACGTGGAGCCAACTGGAAAGGTGGGAAAAGGCTATAAAATCCAAACAGAGGATTTTGTGTGCGATCCTGGAGGTAAGGGGGCGTCACTGGAGTTTCTTGGGTCACGGCTAAGCAGTCCTTCCTGCTCTGGGTGAAAGGAAGTTGGCAGAATTGTTTTCTGGGTTCAGTGTGAGGATGATGGGAATGCTGGACCTTGGCTTTCTCCAGGGTGCTTCACTTCCCCTCCCTACATACCCAATGCCCTTCTTGAGGGAAGAGAGGACAATGTGTGGGGCCTGGGGGGAGGCTCACGAATGAGCAGCAGAGACAGCAGGTGAACGAAGCCACTCACCGGTCCAAAGCCCCACTGGTGGGCATGCTGCGGGCGAAGCCACGAACCCCGGTCTGCTGGAAGTAAGGAATGCTGAAGATGTTGGCAGCAATGGCGGCCACAGAGTCTGAAGGGTTAACGAAGAATCCGTGTTTTCCCAGAATCATGTTTCGATCCTTTGGGAGAAAGGGCATCAAAAGGAAGACATTTTCATCAAACTGCTATGAAAGTTGAAAGACGGGGGTGGAGAGGGACGGGCTCAGCAAAAATAATTTTTTGCAATAAAATCCTAAAATGAAAAATGGATAAATTCCTTCTCCTTTGGACGTCCGCTTTTCACTGGGTTTTTATAGCACCCATCGTGCCAACCCTTCCCTCAATGGTGTAGAGTTCAGAAAATGTTTTCAATTAAAATGCAGGCACAACCTCAGCTCGAGCTAAATGCTCTCTTCTCTCCTCGGCCTCTAGGGACCGGCTGGCCTTTGACCTCAAAGACCTTTTCCCCTCTGAGAAACCAGAAGAAATATAACCGCAATGATAAAGGGAATGCTAGCTGTTTACACAGTTTAATGGGCCCTCAAGCCATCCTTTCTGGGAGGAAGGCAGATTTCTTTAAACAGGAGATCTCTGTTTGCAGAAGGCTCTGACCCCAATCCAATATGCAGAGGGACTAAGACCTCAGGACAAAGCATTCCCAAGGGATTATCCAGAGGCACAGAGTATTGGACTTGGAGTCAGGAAGATCTGAGTTCAAATCCAGCCTCAGATACTTACTAACTGGGTGACTTTGGGCAAGTCGCTCAACCTCTGCCTCAGTTTCCTCACCTGTAAAATGGCAATAATCATATCACTATGTCATAAGGTCATTATGAGAATCAAGTGGAGATAAGATTTGCAAAGTGCCCAGCACATAGTAAGTGCTATATAAATGTTAGTTATCATTATTATTATTATTATGACAATTATCATATGTGTCTTAGAGAGACACAATGCATATAGCAACCTTATGAAAAGATCACTGCCTCTGTCTCTACCTATGACTGCGTGCAACTCACTCTCACTCTCTTTGAGCCTCAGTTTCCTCTTCTGTAAGATGAAGGTGTTGGATCAGATGGCCTGTAACGCCCCCTCCAGCTCTAAAGCTATGATCTAATAAATTTCCCAGTTCGCTGGGAACCTTATGGACTTCCAAGAAGGTTGGCAAGAAGAGAATTTTTTAAAAAGAAATAACTCATTTTAAGAAACGTCTGATTTGTGAGGAATATTATCAGGAGGCAAGTCTGAGTTCTGCTGACCATGGCGATGAGTGTCTATCGTGGAAAGAACAGCCCAGCCAAGTTTGGAGTAACTCACCATTAGGAGACTGGCAACCAGGCTATTAATCTGGGAGGCCAGAGAGCTTCATGAAGGCTCTCTCATAAGGTCCAGAAGGGCCACCGGCTCCATTAATGGAAGGAATTCCCACAGGATCGTTAGGTCATAGATTGAGAGGGAAGGGAGTCATTCATCCTGATGAAATGATAGATCCTTGACTCATGTAAGACTGAGTCTTACTGAGGCAAAGGAAATAGCAGTGACCTCCAAACCTCCTGATCTCTTCTAGCCCAGCCCCCACAGTTAGGACGGAGGGCAGAAATCCTTGTGGAGAGGGGGCCCACCTTTCTCATCAACACCAACAACAACTGCTGAACAACTATGACCAACAAACAGTCAGACGAGCACAAGAACTCTGGGAGGCAGGATCTCCCACACTCCCAGTCCTGCCTCCAGCCCAGCCCTCATAGCCACCATCCACCAAAGTAACTCCTGGACAGAAGGGTCCAGGAAACTTCAATAACCCTCGACCAACTGCCACACACAGGAGGGGTAGGCCAGCCAAGCTGAAGCAGCAGGGAGAGAAGAGGACAGCATGTACCAGGCAAGTCTAATCACCATCCGCACCTTGACCGCCATCTTCCCTCAGACCCAGATAGAGACAGCCCAGGACCCTGAACCCAAGAGCATTAGGAGTAACGTTGCTTCCAGACCAATGTTGGCAGCCATGATCTTGGGAAGCAGCCCCTGTGGAGGTGCCACCTGCAGAGGCTAAAGCCATAGCTACTGAAGACCCAGAAAGTCTGGTCGTTGAGTCTTCGGCACTGCCCAATGTTCAACATCAGAAACTGATCATACTGGATGAGTGGAAAAAACATGAAAAAAGAGGCATTATGACCGTCTGCTCTACTCCTGAACCCTAAGGACCATGAGCCCTTTCCCTCTGACCTACACCTGAAACCTTCCATATGTGGCTTCTCCCTCCGTGAGAATGCACGTGAGCTACCTGAGAGCAGGAACTGACTGACTTATCTTTGCATCCTCAGGACTGAGCCCACTGCTTTTTACATAGCAAGTGCTTTAAAAATGCTCGCTTTATTTATTCTTTAAAGATAAGCTAATTTTCATATTCACTCATGGAACTGGTGGAGAGGGGGAGAGGAGCATGATGTATTGGAAAGGATGCTGGATTTAAAGTCAAAAGCCCTGGCTTCCAAACTGTACTCTGGCCACTCTCTGGGCAACCTCCAGCTGGTCATTTAACCTTTTCGGGGGTTTAGTTTCCTTGTGTGCGAAATGAGGGCGCTGGACTCCATGGTTCTAAAGGTCCCTTCAGGTTCTAATCTATGACCCTCTGACCTCTCTGGGCATCAGTTTCCTGTTCTGTAGAATGTCCTTTACGTCCAGATCTTAAAACATCTTGCTCAGCAATGAGTTTTAAGGAAAAAACAAGGATCAGTAACTCATCTGGGTATCAGACAAACTGGAAAATTAAGGATAAATTCTTCAGCTAAATTAATAACAAGTGAAAGTCTATATTAAAAATTTACAATGTTGCTATCCACCTCCAGAAAAAGAACTGATGGAGTCTGAATGCCGATGGAAGCATACTATTTTTTACTTTCTTTATTTTTCTTGGGGTTTTTTTTGGAGGGGGAAGAGGGTGCTCTGTTTTCTTTCAAAACATGACCAATATGGAAATATGTTTTGCATGGCTGCATGTGCATAATCTATATCAAATTGCTTGCCTTCTCAAGAAGTAGGGAAGGGAGAGAGAGAATTTGGAACTCAAAATTTTAAAAAAAAATGTTAAAAATTATTTTTATATGTAATTGGAAAAAAATAAAAGCATAATTAAAAAAAAAACCTTACAATGTGCCGCATACTGTGCTAAGCACTAAAGATAAAAACACAAAAGGGACAGCCCCTGCCTTCAAGGAGCTTACACTCTAATAAGAGAAGAGAGAACTTAGGGGGAAGCTCCCTTTGGAAGAAGGTAGGGCTGCCTAGGTACTGGGTGGTGGGTGATCACACGGCCATGCAGGGGTGTGGCATGGTAATGATTTAAATTGTGTGCACATTAAGGATTTGAATTCTATTAAATGGATTGCTTTTTGAGACTTCTTTGGGGTTCAAACAGCACCAGAGTTCAAATCCTAGCTCCCTACATGACTGGGGCAAGCCTGATCCCCTCTGAGTCTGTAAAATGAGTGGGTGCACATGGTGATCTCTCTAGAATCTAGAGATGATGTGAACTTTCTGGCACTCAACCCACTGAGCTCTCATCACTCTAGGAGTCAGGGTTTCTTGTTTATAAAATTGGCTGGGAAGAAAAATACATTTTTATTTCCACAGAATTGGATTTCTTTGTGATCCTCTGTTTTTTATTTCATGCATTTACAACCATGATTCTAAAAAGGGGTCCAGAGGCTTCCCCAGACTGACAAAGGGGCCCATGACACCTGCTCTAGGGCAAGTCTGTTGTCACAGTCATCCTGATACAAAGTCCAGAGGCAAAGGCCAAAAGGAATGATGAATAAACCCATTGCCTCTACTAGCTGGACCTTAGGTTTTTGATGGAGTGAATGCTTTATGACCTCCTCTGTCATAAAGCAGTGGGCAGTCCTTCTCCAAAGGCAGATGGCAATCCCTCTCCGTCTCCCTCTCCCTCAGTAAACAGTCTTGGTGACTTGGTTACTCTGCAGCAGCCAATATTCTAGGGATGAAGCCCCGTGCCCTTGGCTGGCCAGGCTGGTCCTTGGCCAGCAGGTATTCTCCTGTGAGGCTCCTATTCAAAGACCCCTACGTGGGTAGGACCTTCCAGGGATTATAGCCATCTCCTTGACGGAAGAGTCTTGCTAGATAATTTCTGTCTTTGTAAACCCACTGCCTCACACGGTGCCTGGCACACAGTTAGTCAACAAACCTTTATTAAGCTCCTACTATGTGGCAGGTGAGAGAAATTATTTTCTATTCTATCAATTAGGATCCAGGCATTTTATTTCCTCATTCAGGGACCAGGCCCTGTAGGTCAAGGCTGATAGATGAGATTGCCCAAATCCTCTGGGAACATGCTCCTCCACCTTGGGGAAGGACCTCAACAGAATCTAATCTAGGTGAATCTCAGCCCCAAAGTAATGAGCTATGCCCTTGCACCTGCCATTGAAGTTCTTGGTAACCCAGCTCATGAAGGAGAAAACTAACAGGAGAGATCTGGGTAGAGATGGATTCCTTTGTCCTGGTTGAGTCTCATGATCAAGTCACATTCTCAGCAGGAGGAGCTGAAGACTTTTCGTCCACTTCCTCATTAATATGCTCACCCCCACCCCCCATTAATTGTTCAGTCAGGGTTGATTTTCATCTGTCAGGGTGCCCCCTTTTCTAAAAGTATATTAAGGCAGTAGTGTCTCTATTAGGGGTCTTTGGTTATCAAGAGGAACCGCTGACCACCAATTTATTGATTATCAGCTAGCCTAATTAATAAATTGATTATTAATTACCCAGAAACTCTGTCCCTCAGGTTTTGTATACACCTCATTGTAGCTGCTCAAGAAATGCTTGTTGAATTCAATTCAAGAATTCAAGATTGGAAAAAAGGGTCCAAAGTCACCACCAGACAGTAATGAGGAATGAGACGAGAGTGGAAATTCTCTTTGATACAAACTTGAGATTTCATGGGCATAGAGCCCTCCTGGATGAGGAAACTCCCTCCACCAAGGCAGATCAACACCTGCTCGGCCATCTTTAATCTTTAGACAATTGCCTGGGACACTGAGATAGGAAGTGACTTGCCCAGAGTCACAACTCCAGTATGAGTCAGAGGCAGGATTTGAACCTGGGACTTCCTGGCTCCAAAGACTTCTCTTCATCCACTACACCAGGCTGGCTCAGAGCCCATCTCTTCCAGAGTCTGGCACAGGTAGGACTGTCCTCAGGCATCTCTTCCAGCTCTGACATGCAAGGTCACAAAGCCAGGAGGGCTAGGAAGTGTCAGGGGTAGGATTTGAACCCAGGCCTTCCTAACTTCAAGAACAGTGCTCTATCCATGACAAGATAAAACCCAAATCCATGGCACCTAACACAGTTCCTGGCTCATAGGAGGTCATTTGATAAATGCTGGTTGAACAGAATTGAATTGAATTGAATTAACTCACCCCATCTCCATCAAAGGCAGCACCAAAGTCATGCTCTCCGCTCTTCATGGTCTCCACCAGATCAGAGGCATAGGTCAAGTTTGGGTCAGGGTGGTGTCCTCCAAAGTCCTCCAGAGGGACACAGTTGACGGCTGAATTTGCCGGGGCACCAAGCTCTTCACAGAGGATCTTTTTAACATACGGCCCCACGACTAAACAGGGCAAGAAAGGAAAATAGGCCAGACATGAAAATTAACAGCTTTAAATGAAATTCACTCATTCGTTTTCTTTTCTTTTTTGATTTTTTTCGTTTGGTGAGGCAACGGGGTAAAGTGACTTACCCAGGGTCACACAGCTAGTTAAGTGTCAAGTGTGTGAGGTCAGATTTGAACTCAGGTCTTCCTAATCCAGGGCTGGTGCTCTGTCCAATTTTCTTTTCTTTAATTTTCTTTATTTTATTTTTAACTTATGGAGTAAAATAAGCATTTCCATAATACAGTATAATAAAAAAACGATTGCACATGAAACTGCAAATCTATTATGTACAACTTGCTATTCTTTTTAAATATGTAATAAAGTTACCATGTAAATTTCTTTTTTTCCTCCTTTTTTCCCTCCCCCCCTGGAGATGGCTACCATTAGACACAGATATCTATAGATATATGTAAAAACATTCTATACATACTTCTATTTATCAGTGCTGGCATCTTCCTTCATAGGTCCTTCGTAGTTAATTTGGTTAGAAATAATAGTCAAAATGACTTATTCACTCAAAGTTGTTCTTAAAACAACATTGCCCTTACTGTATACAATGTTCTTTTGTTTCTGCTCATTTCACTCTTCATTATTTCATGCAAGTCTTTCCATGTTTTTCTAAAATCATCGACTCACCATTTCTTACAGCGCTCGGTCATTTTCAACAAACATTCACTCATCATCTGTTATGTGCATAGCTCCTGCTGCCTTCCCCTCCAAGGTTTTGCTTCATTTGCTCTGTGTAGGTCTCCTAAATGCCTAGATTTGTATGTGTGTGTATCTCTCCTAGCAGAATATATGCTCCTTGAAGGTAGGGACTGTTTACTTTTGTCGTTGTATTCTTAGCACCTAGCGGTATGGCACATAGTAGGCACTTAATAAATGCTCATTGACTGGCTGATTGTTTGATCAGAGCTAACAGGAGCAGGAAGAAGTTTTATACTCTAATCCTATCTAGAGAAGCTTCCAATACAGTTGGGAGGAAAAAAGAAATGTGTACATGGAATATTAATTAACAAAACGAAGACAACAAATTCCTTTCAATCCAATAAACCTTTGTCAAGGACCTACTACGTGCCAGACACCTTGCTAAGTGATGGGGATACATGAAAGGAAGCTTTCTGAGGGCAGGGACTCTTTGCCTTGGGATCGATCCTCAGTGGCTAGCATAGTGTCCGGCACATAGTAGGTGTGAAATAAATGCTTGTTGACTTGATTTGTTCACAAAGGATTTGAATGAGGAGTTTTCAAAGAAACAAATCCAACAATCGCATGGAAAAATGCCCAAATCACTAATAATTAGAGAAACGCAAATGATGTCAACTCAGAAGTGCCATCTCCTAGCCATCCATAAGGGGGGCCAGGGGGACCAAAAAGGAAAGTGATGATTATTGGAGAAGCTGGCAGGAAACAGGCACATTCGTGTGATCTTGATAATCACTCGAATTGGTCTAGTCTGGGGGAGGGGAACCTGCAGTCATTCTAGGAAGAAATTTAGACTGTGCTGAAAAAGTCACTAAACTGTGAATGCCCCTTCACCCAGCGACACCACCAATAGGCCTCCACCCAATGAGATCAAAGAAAGAGGAAAAGAACCTTACATACAAAAAATATTTATTTAGTAGCTCTACCTACAGCAACAAAAACCTAGAAACTAAAATAAGAACAGAGGAAAGGCCAGAACAACTGTGAAAGTCCTATGTGGAATTTATCATACATATTCAAAGGAAAACAAGCTGAGTATAATAATAATAATAATAGCTAACATTTATATAGTGGTCATGATGTGCCAAGCACTGTGCTAAGCTTTACAGTTACAATATCATATGATGCCCACAACAATCCTGGGAGGTAGATGCTATTATTATCGCCATTTACAGATAAGGAAACCGAGGCAGACAGGGTGAGTAACTTGCCCAGATCACACAGCTACTAAATGTGTGAGGCCAGATTTGAACTCAGGTCTTCCTAACTCCACATCCAGTGTAAAATGATTGGCAAGTATATAGAGGTTATACAATGATGTTGCCTTGGAGACTAAGCCTTGTCTGGAGTCAATAGCTATGGTTTGATGCCCTAATGCATTTTCCTGATCCTGCCCTGAGCGGATCACCTTGGCTTTCAAACCACTGATGCCTCCTTTCCTGCCTCGCCCCGGGATTTGGTGATTCATTTGACAGATGAATTCCCCGCTCCATTCTTTGGACTTCATGGCTGCTTGCTCATTTGCTTCCTGGCCCCTGTTATTTAACAACTATTCACTGGCACCAGTCCCTTCTCCAAAGCCCTCTGAGGGCTCATAGGACAGGGCAGAAGCTTTTCTGCCTGAGACCATCTCCTTAGCCAGACCCCAGCACCCTGAATGGCAGACGCGCGCAGCAATCACTCAGTAAGTACTACTTGATGGTATGACCCTGGGGCACAGCTTTCTGAATGGCCCCCAGTGGAAGCAAGCTGACATCTTAGAGGGTAGATCTGATTTTGGACACAACTGAAAGGGCTTTGGAGTCAAGTCTGGCAAATAAAATATGGGATCAAGCTGGGGAAGTACAGTTTGGGTCAAAAACAAAGGAATACTGCCAGGTGATGACTGACTTTCTTGTGTGAGTCACTGAAAAGGAGCTCCTTAAATGACTAAAGTGAGGCTAGAAGCACCGGGATGAATGGGGAGGGTCTCCAAAGGGGCTCCTGGCAAGGGCACCAGTCATGTGAGCAGGGAGGTCCTGGGATGTTGGGCTTAAAAGGCAGCCTCCTTCCATTTAGTCACATGGGTTAGGAGGAGTCAGTTGTGAGGGAAGTGGCCAGAAAGCTGATTTAAGCCTGAGGGCAGGAAAGATTCCTAATCATAAGAGCTGTTCCAAAGTGGAATGGGCTACCTGCCTGAACAGGTGGCAGGTTCACCAAGCACAGTGTCCCCCCACTCATCAGAACTCAAGCCTCAGGCTCCCCAGTAGCAGGAGGATTCCTTGAGTTTGAGTTCTGAACTGCAGTGGGCTAAACCAAGTTCTGTATCAATATGGTGAGTTCTCAGAAAGAGAAGGCCGTCAGGGTACCTTAGGAGGTTCAAGCCAGCTCAGGCTGAAAATGGAGCAGGACAGGCTGCCATAGTGTTCAGAGGTGGAATCAGAACTATGAATAGAACCTGAGCATCCAATCTGCAGGAGACAGGGGGAGAAAAGAGGTATGGGGTTCCTGCCTACCAGAGGTCTTCAAGTACAGGCTAGATGACCACTTGTTGGGGATGTCTGGGAATTCTTGTCCTAATTGGAGTTGGTCTCACTGATATTAAAGTCCCATTGACTAAGATTTCAATCAATCATTCAAAAAGTATTTTCTAAATGCTTATTTTTTGCCAGGAACATTTCTGGAAGTTATCCATACTATTCACTTGTAAAATAAAAGCTAGCATTTATATAGTGCTCTGAGGTTTGCAAAGAACTTTACAGATAGCATCTCATTTTATCTTCACAGTAAAGACTATTTGTGATGAATATGTCTAGGCTCTAGGAGAGACAGCAAGGCATAGTAGAGAGAGAATAGGCCTCAAAGCCAGGAAGACTTGGGTTTCAGTCCTGTTTCTGACACATACTGGCGCTCTGTGTGTGTGTGTGTGTGTGTGTGTGTGTGTGTGTGTGTGTGTGTGT